ATGTAACACGTTGAAAAATCTACAAATGGAACTAATTAATTTACACTGTGATATAAATCTTATTCAAAACGTTAAGATACAGATTTGATTAGCATTTTTTCTTACTTGTCAACAGAGTATACCTTCAGTTATGAATTTTTGCAATAAGAAAAATTGCTTTGTTTGGAAATGCATTTATATGTGAACAGTTTTTTCCACAAAAAAAATTAATAAATCTAGAAAAAGAAGCAGACTAACTGATCAGCATCTACACTTCACAATGAAGAAAGTTTCTAGTAATTTTTCTCCAAGAGTACAAACTTTATCAAAATGAAAACACCTGGTGTTGAAATTAAAAGTTGTAGTAAGAAACAAAAAAAATTATATTATTACAATTAATTAAATATTTTTATACTTTTATTTATTTTTAATTTACTTTAAGTTATTTAGTGATTAATCAACTTATTGGAATAATTTAAAATAAATATCAAGGTGAAAATTTAATATTCAGTTGTTGATACAATTGAATTTTAAAATACAATCAACAGAAATTTCTTGCAAATACCAGTCTTTAGATTTCCAACAGAAAATAATGATATATCGGTATTTTTTCCTTTCCGTCATTATTATTACTGTTTATATATGCTTTGTTAAATATGTAGCATTTCTTTTGTTTAAGATGAGGAAAAACTTTTAATTTTGTTAAGAAAAAAAATTCATCCCATCAGCTGCTAAGTTGTGCATTTGGCCCATATGCTGTTTGAGATTACTGATGGAGAATACTGTGTAGTGACTTCCCTTATTATAAAAGAACAGATGACAAAGACCAATGATGAAATTAAAGAGGCTTGTACAAAATTTAGTGAACTTTATTCCGAGGACATTGAGCCCGAGTTTATAAACGAGATGGTGTAGTTTAAGTACATCATCTCACAATTACAAGATGTGGGGAAAGATAAAATTGTACCTGCTAAGGAATTGTTTAAATTGATTTTTGACAAATGGTACATTCAACTTTCCTGAATGTAATGATAGCATTGTAAATATATAAAAGCCTGATGATATCAAATGCAACAGGTGAACGTAACTTTTCAGAATTAAAACTAATAAAAAAACTGTCTTTGTTTATCATTGTCTTAGAACCGTTTAAATTCATTGTCGATAATGGTGATTGAAAGTGATGTATTGGAAAAGGTCAACTTTCAAGATGTTATGAATAATTTTGTATTAAAAAAAAAGTTAATATTTAAACTTATTGTACTTGACAAAACTATTTTCTTTCATTTATTGTATTTTATTGCATTTAACAAGAATAAAGTTAAAATTAAAACACGCGCATCTCATTTTACTCACATCCCTGTATCAACTTGAAAAGACCTAATGATCTTTAAATGGCTCAATAAGGTTCCTGAGAACTGCATTGCCTAGGGGCTCCGACATGGTTAATCCAGCCCTGCTTACACTAACACAGCAGCAATGAAAATCCATTTAAATTCATGGCACCATTTATTCATAAACATTGTCATTAAAATACAAAGCATCAGTTTCTCTCTAGTGCTTGTGAGATAGTGCCCCTACACAAACACGATCACACAGCAACAACTGTGCCTTAAATCTGTGATGACATTCTTTGTACTTCTTACATCATTAAGACACAATAACACGCTGAATAAATACTAATTAAGAAGTCAAACAACAAAAATCAGCGTTATATTTACAAAATTTTCACAGGACTAGTTTCGATAGTTTTACCGAACCACCATCTTCAGCTGCAAAACCGCAAATGAACAAGATAGGAAATAATGATTAGATAAGATAAGAAAGCCTGGACAAGAATAAAAAAGCAAGTGGCGCCATCTGTTGGGTGAAACCAGAACTAAAACATAATTTTCTTTAAAGGCCGAAGGCAAATTTGGATTGGAATTAGGATCGTTAACTAGAACAGAAAGATTTTTATGAATGTGAAATGCCTCTAGAAAATCCAGTTCTCCAATGGAAGATGTTTTTTGAATAATTTTTGGGCAGCAGAAAAACTGAAAGTGTGGTTTTTCGGACCAACAATGTTGAGCAACAGAAGACTTCTGTGTTTCCTTTTTTCTAACATATGCCTCATGTTCCTTTGACGCAAAATTTTAAGGCTCTCTTAGTTTGGCCAATGTAAATTAAACCACACTGGCAAGGAATCCTATAAAATACCCCAGGAATTCATATCCGGAATGGGGTCCTTGAGTATGGAAGTTGGAATTTTATTGATGGGAGAATAAACAACCCGAAAGTTAAATTTCTGCAAAATATGTGCAACTTTATAATAGCTAATTGATGGAAAGAAGGGAATGACAACAGAATTTTTATAATCTCCTAAAAAAGAGTGTGGCCTTTTAGTGTGTTGAGATGAGAATTTTTTTAACTGCTTGATTAATAATGTTGGTGGAAAGCCCCTGTCAATAGCTATTGCTTTTAAATAATTTAGTTCTTCATCAAGGGCTAGTTTGGAGGAGCAAACTTGAAGAGCACGGAAAACATAGGAATAAAATGAAGCTAACTTTTGTTTAGTCGGATGACATGATTTAAAGTGTGGTGGAAGGCAAACCGATGAAGGTTTACGGTAAACTGTAGTACTGAAGTTGGATGTGTTACGTGTGACCAGAATGTCGAGAAACGGAAGAGAATTGCAAGTCTCAAGTTCAAAAGTGAAACTGAATAGCAGGATCAATAGAATTCATTGTTGAAAGAACTTTATTTAAATCATCTTTATTACCTTCAAACAGGGTAAAAGTATCGTCTACGTAGCGGAAACCATGCCGGGAAGTTTAAAGTTTCAAACAATTTTGATTCATAATAATGCATGTAGATATCAGCCAGGATGGGACTGAGGGGGCTTCCCATGGCTAATCCCTCAGTTTTGCTTGTAATATTATTTTGGAAAACAAAATGTGTTTGTTTCAAACAGAGTTGAGTGAGAGAAATTAGTTCATCAATTTCGATGCAAGAGAAATGAAATTTGCAAAGTCTGGTTTCTAGACATCTTAATGCACAGTCCACTGGGACATTGGTGAATAATGATTTTACATCAAAAGAAACCATGAGTAAATTACTAGGAGAAATGTTTTTAACTTTTTTTACAAACTCTATTGAATTTTTTATGGTGTAAATGTTATTGTCTAATAGAGTTGAATGTCCCAGTGGAGGGTGTATTAAGATGTCTAGAAACCAGACTTCGCGAATTTCATTTCTCTTGCATCGAAATTGATGAACTAATTTCTCTCACTCAACTCTGTTTGAACAAACACATTTTGTTTTCCAAAATAATTACAAGCAAACTGAGGGATTAGCCATGGGAAGCCCCCTGTCCCATCCTGGCTGATATCTACACGCATTATTATGAATCAAAATTGTTTTGAAACTTAAACTTCCTGGCATGGTTTCGCTACGTAGATGATACTTTTTACTCTGTTTGAAGGTAATAAGATGATTTAAATAAAGTTCTTTCAACAATGAATTCTATTGATCCTGCTATTCAGTTCACTTTTGAACTTGAGACTTGCAATTCTCTTCCGTTTCTCGACATTCTGGTCACACGTAACACATCCAACTTCAGTACTACGGTTTACCGTAAACCTTCATCGGTTTGCCTTCCACCACACATTTAATCATGTCATCCGACTAAACAAAAGTTAGCTTCATTTTATTCCTACGTTTTCCGTGCTCTTCAAGTTTGCTCCTCCAAACTAGCCCTTGATGAAGAACTAAATTATTTAAAAGCAATAGCTATTGACCAGGGGCTTTCCACCCAACATTATTAATCAAGCAGTTAAAAAAATTCTCATCTCAACACACTAAAAGGCATACTCTTGTTTTAGGAGATTATAAAAATTCTGTTGTCATTCCCTTCTTTCCATCAATTAGCTATAAAGTTGCACATATTTTGCAGACATTTAACTTTCGGGTTGTTTATTCTCCCATCAATAAAATTCCGAGTTCCATACTCAAGGACCCCATTCCGGATATGAATTCCTGGGGTATTTATAGGATTCCTTGCCAGTGTGGTTTAATTTATATTGGCCAAACTAAGAGAGCCTTAAATTTTGCGTCAAGGAACATGAGGCATATGTTAGAAAAAAGGAAACACAGAAGTCTTCTGTTGCTCAACATTGTTGGTCCGAAAACCACACACTTTCAGTTTTCTGCTGCCCAAAATTATTCAAAAAAACATCTTCCATTGGAGAACTGGATTTTCTAGAGGCATTTCACATCATTCATAAAAATCTTTTCTGTTCTAGTTAACGATCCTAATTCCAATCCAAATTTGCCTTCGGCCTTTAAAGAAATTATGTTTTAGTTCTGGTTTCACCAACAGATGGCGCCACTTGCTTATTCTTGTCCAGGCTTTCTTATCTTATCTAATCATTATTTCCTATCTTGTTCATTTGCGGTTTTGCAGCTGAAGATGGTGGTTCGGTAAAACCATCGAAACTAGTCCTGTGAAAATTTTGTAAATATAACGCTGATTTTTGTTGTTTGACTTCTGAATTCTTACATCATTCTTGAAGAAAAAGTCTTCAAATGCATCTTACATCATTCTTGAATACTTTTAATTCTATATGCTTAATGCAGTCTTGCTCAAATATCTTTTATTTATTTGTCTATTTATTTCAAATTGCTTTGATGGCCAAGTAAACAAAACTTTTTTCAAAATGTCCTTGTGATATGTTTACCGATTTATTTTTGCACTTTGATCATCAAAAATAAGAGAAAGGGATATACCCTGCTAGAATGTATCCCTTGTGACCTTAATGGATTGAGGTAGCTGATGGAGTTCCAGAGAGCCCAAAAGCATAACTAACCAAATTCAGTCATTATTAATATCATGAACTTTCTTATTAATAAAAAAAACTTCTGCCACTGATCACCTGTGGCCTGCTTCAGTAGTGTTCTCTAGCTTTTGGAGCCTTATATAATGGTTTCAATGGTAGGTTTTAAACATTTCCCTTCTGTAAAGTCACACATACTCCACTACAAGCTTTTTTTTTTTTTTTTTTTTTTGGAAGGGGGGGTCTGGATAAACTCATTGCTGTATATATATATAATTTTTTTTTTTTAATGTTGAAAAGCAGTTTTTCTCACAAAATTCTTGAGAGTTTCCTGCCCCTCCCCCATTTTTCAGGTAATTTTCCAGTTTCCCATTTGCTTCCTCCTCCTCTGGGTCTGTTCCCATCATAGCCAAAAGCCAAACTCTTAGAACCGTTTGATTGTGTACCAGACTTTCTATTCTGGCGCTTTAAAGTAATAAATCATTGCACTTTCATTCTTTCCTAACATAAGAAAATCCAAACTTGCAGTTTCTAAACTTTAAAAGAATTTTTTATATAATACAAGGATTCATTTTCACACAATTTAAATTTTTAGAGGTTACGATATTTTCAACTACAAGATTATTTCCTTTTACTCTGTATTTATAACCAATGGTGTATTCAAAACAATTATTTTAATAAATTAAACCAGTTAAATAGGTTTTCAAAGTAAAATGTATGTAGGATAAAGACTATGCCTGCTAGCTTTTATGTGAATATGTTTTATAAGCTCCCCAAAAATATCTGGAAAAATTTCTTTAGGACTCAAGAGATTTTTATAGCACGCATCAACAGCATTACTCAATTAACAATTTTGTTAACCCCCCCCCCTGTTTGCCAAAAGAAGGGTTGTAGTAATTTTAATTTTAAGAAAACAGTAAACTAATAATTAAACACTTCACAGGTGCTGACAATTTGCAATCACTCCATGTTCAGGTAATCAAAATGATTAACTAAACATTGTTGCTGATCCTGACAGTTTAGTACAGCCCGCTGTAGGGAATTTTATATTAATTAACCAGTTATTTACAATTTCAGCCTTTACTAAAACTTTTCCTTTTCTTATTCCTCACTAAAATGCAATGAGTAGCCAGTATTTAATACTGTGGTTTTGGGTTTATAAGATGAAGCATGTTTCTGGCATCATGTATGCACTGTGGTTGTTAGTTTCCTGCCAAATCTAATAGTTGTAATTATTCATCCTTTCATTTTATTGCTGCCGATACTTAAATTCTGATGCTATGGTAGAGTAGTGAGCCAGCTTCTAGTATAGTAATTTAATGTGTAGTCTTTGACTGTTCCATTTAGTTGCATCACTTCATATTGTGACTTATATTGTAGCACAGGAGGGTGTCTATATGTTCTAAATTCTGTTTATATAAAAATGTTATTTTTTACTCTCTCACAACTTCATCATTGTTTCAGATTTAGCAATAATTTACTTCGCGTCTGTCATAAAACCCTACACCATCTCAAAAGAAAATGAATTAGTATCCTTATGGTAGATATGCAGTATGTTAGTGTGTAAAATTTCCTTAATCATATGACATGCATGTTTAAATATGAAAACCTTGTGATATGTCTTATGAAGCTTTGCATCATGCAATTTTGTACCATAAGAAATAGGTTAAGAAACACTGTTATAGACTGCCATATTTAAAGAAATTTTTAAAAATTGTTAAAATTCATGCATTTACAGTAATATTATATTTTTTAATGCTTTGATTAACCTATGAAATTTTCTGAAAAATTATATCAATATACAGTCAAATCTCTTTATCATACGACCTTTTTCACAGTTATGTATAATATATAATTCTTATAAAATATCTCAGTTACTTATCCATTCAACTACAATTTTTTTCTTCTTACTATTATAGAACTTTGATTATTACATCATTTTGAGCATGAATATTCTTATTACTATTGTTCATGACAAAATCATTTAGTTTCAGTCACTCGAGATGAGACTATGCCAGAATCCAGATTCTCTTACTTTCTCCCTTCCCAAGAGTACTCCATATACCTCTAGGAAGTTGCATTTTAAGGAAGCTAGCTAGAAAAATTAAAAAACTAACTACTAAATTTTAAATGTTGCCTCTTTTTTTAATTTTGTAATGCTGAACCATAGAAACTATTTTCACTATTTTATTTTCGAAACATTACACATCAAGATAAAAATTAAAACCTGGTAGTATTTACAAAATATATTGGTAGCTAAAAAAAAAAAAAAAAAAGATTCAGTTATAGTTTCTCAAGCAATTAATGCTTTACATAATTCTACGTGGCCTTTTCCCCTCTGTTAAAGAACAGGTTTAAAAATTGTGTCTAAAAGATGGTACAAGATGAAGATTAAAAGAAAAAACTTGAATAATTAATACTTATGAAAATTTGTCAGTAAAAAAGGGTGCTTAAGTGTTTCTTAAGTTTCTTATGTGTATCAAAAATGTATTTAAACACTATTATCGTAGCTAAAGTCCTATATTTAAATGAAATATAAAGTGGAAATTCTAAATCATCAAAGCTAATTGAAAGAACATGATCATAATTAGGACTCTTCGAGCTTGATAATTTAAATAAGTCAGCTACACCCCGATTTTCAGAAACCTTCTAACAGTAATCCATGTGACCAAAGTTGAATCATCAACTATTTTAAAATAAATGAACATTTAAATAAACAAATTGCTTTTTTCTTCTCAAAATTAAACTTTCTATTAAATTTTAAAAAATCTCAAAGATCAATTTACATGTTTTAAATTTCCCATTGAAAATCACTTTGCTTAGAACATAACTTTTTAAATTAATTCTATTAACATTGAGGTTTGACTGCATTTAGTTTTTAACATGTGGTGACTCCTATAACATGTGACACATGCAAAAAAAATTTTTAATTAAAAAAAATACGACTTCTTAAATTAAAACAGTTCCATTTAGGCAGATGGCATTTATTTACATTTTAATTTGTAAAAGCAAGGAGGAGGAGATATTATATCAAACCAAATCATAGTTTGAGATTTAATTTTTATATATTTTATCAAATAATTCTATTTTAACTTTAAAAATGTTCTGATTACAAGCACTTGCAAATGGTACAGTGCTGTTATATTGTTGGAAAGCAGTTATCTTCAGGTTATGTACTAAAAATAAATACTCTGCTTATAAAGTTTAATACTTTTAAATTTAATAATAAAAATCAAATTTCATGGCTTATTGACTGCTTACACACATTATGTACTAAAATAATAATAATAAATAATAATTTTTAAGTACAAAACATTTGTATGTATCACCTTTTATGAACATTAAAATTTTTGCGTTCATGTCGGTTGTATGGTACACTTCTTGGTTTATGATGTGAAGTAACACTCTTTTTTAATGCTAATACAGGATTGTCTCCACGAGCTGGTATAGCAGAAAGGCACATTTCTAACTCTTTATCTCTTTGTGCTTCCATGGCCTTTAGCTTTGCTTCAATTGCTAATATCTGATGAACAATACTAATGGGAATAATGAAAGAATTAACTTTCAACTGAATCAAAAACAAAAAATACTAATTCATGAAACACATATTCAGCACTAAATTTAAAAAATTAATACAATGTATTTTAAAAAAGAAAAATTTGCTATAGAACAAATGAAAATGTTTTTAAATATTCTGAGGAAGATGCAAAAATTCAAATAAAAATGAAAATGCTTTTAAATTGAACAAAAAATTTTAAAATACATTAAAAGTAAATACAAGAAAGCTCTCTGAAATATAATCAACTGCGTACTTGGAAAAGATAAAATATATCTAAAACAACTGAATAAGATACATATCATAAAAAACGTGACTGATTTTTAAAAAAAATTAAGAAAACAATAAATATGCATCTAAGAAAAAAAAAAAAAAAAAAGATATAATTATTATTTGTAAAGTTTAAACAGATAACAAATTTGTACATTTCCACCTATAAACATGTTTCAAAAGAAATATGTACAATAGTAAATGAATGAATCTATCTTCTGTTTTCCCTCCATTTACATACTTCCCAACTTTGCAAAAGTAAAAAACAGGATATAAAGTGTTTCTCCCACTTCCCTAGCGTGCCTTCGTGGTGTAACGGTAGCACGTTGGGCCGGTATTCCAGAGGTCCGTGATTCGTTTCTCGGCGAAGACAGTTGCTATTTTTCATCTTTTCTGCTTCCAATTAACCTAATGACTCTATAAGGATACTTTTGAAAAAATGCAAAGAAAAAGTGCAAAATGAATTTCATAATGAAAACTGACATATATCAAAATATTTTGTAACAATTAGAAATCGAATAAATGAAACTTGTTTCAACATAATTACATTTTTTCCCCTTTCTGTTAAAAATAAATTCAAATTGTGCATCCCAATATTTATTACCTTGTTTATATTTTATTATCATGAGAATCAAAAACTGCTAAATATGAAAGGTAAAGACTTATCACAGATGGAAATAATGTTTTAGTTTCATTTGATTTTTCTAGAATAATGCAATTTTGATATATCACTGTAATTTGTTGAAAAGAGAGAAAGCAGATGGCACTGCTTTGCAGCAGAATGATTGTAAAAGAAAAGTTTGGGTTCATAGTTTACTGGCAGGCGAATGTTATGTAATGGAGTAATAAGAAAAAAAAAAAAAAAAAAAAAAAAAAAAACTGTTATCGGTTCACTAAGCAATATAATGTTTCTGAAGTTTGGTTCTTCAGAATAATAGGATAAACAAATAAATATACAAAACAGTGTAATAATGTTAAACATAATGAACCAATAGATGCTGTATTTATTGGATGGCCACTGTGTGAAGTTTTCCTTTGGTGTATCAGCTGGGAAGATGGCAGAATGTTTTGGTTTGTAAAAAAGAAAAAATTGTAAACTTCATGATGTTATGTGCTGACTGTGGATACTAATAGAAAAGAAGACAGATGTGCCCATACCGTGCCCTAAGAATTAAGTAAAAGCATGTTTAATATTAAATTTTAAAAATAACTGATTTGAATTTTGATAATTTTCAAATTTGGATACATTTACATATTAACGCAAAATAAAGGCAGAACTAAATAGATTGAAATGGAAGAGATTTGCATTGAAAATAATAGTTTCTAAACGGTTAAAGAAAGCTGAGGACAATTTAGCAAAGAAAGTTACTTCATTAAAATTAAATGAATTATACAAATTACATAGATTGTTGTTATCAGAAAGGAAAAAGTTGAAAGAATTATATGAAGCAATTCATTCTATAACTGATGTAAATTCTTTGTAAGCGGATGTAGTTAGCTTAAAAAAATTTTCTTAAGCTATTAAATGAATTAATTGAGTGTTAGAAGAGGAGACAAAACCAGTATTAATGATCCTCAGCAAAACATGGTTAGACTGCAAAAAGTATTTAAAGCTTCCAGAACTAGTGTTAGAAAAATATTCAGATGATCCTACATAATTCACGGAGTTTGGGAACAGTTATGAAAGTAATATATGCAAAAAAAGGTCTTAGTAAGATACAGAAATTTGCATTTTCATAAGAATTAAATGAAAAGAATAATGATCACAGCACACAAATATTAGAGGAAAGATTTGGAAAAAAATAATAATCAGTCAATTCATGAAAGGGTTGTTAACTCTAGAACCAATAAAGAGTTCAAACAATATTAAAGCTTCGCATAGGTTATATGGTGAAATCAATATTGTAATTCAGAAGCACAAGGCATTAAGAAAAGCTCAGTTGGTTATTAATACCTATGTTGCTAAAATTTATTCCAGAAAAGTTCATTCTGGAATTTAATCCAAAAAATAAATAAAAAATTAGCCTACCAGGCTTGGTGGACTCCATAAAACATAAAACTGAAGTCATGAACCATAAAATTTACCGGCGCTAGAGAAAAAAAAATATCTTGCCTCCATGCTTTGAGAACATGCTAAGTCTGATTATAAAAAATTATTCAGAAATCTACCAATGGCTGCCAGTTTTAATGCTGTTCATAAGCATGCACACATCTCCTGTGAATAGTCCTATAATTTATTTTCTTGTGATAAAAGAATTACAGAAAAAATATATAAATTACACAACAAAAAAAATGCTTTATTTTGTTTTAAAAAATTTCACATTCGGAAATCCTGTAGGAATAAAAATAACTGTTTAAAATGTAGCTTAAATTGCATCACGAATCACTATTTACAAATAATTCAAACTGAAATAAAATGCAAACGGCTTCGAATTAAAATATAAAAGAATCATGTAAAAACATAGATGAAAAGCTAAATACCCCAAAAGAGCACATACTTTCTGTTGATTCATGCAACAATTCATGTGAGAAAGATCCTTTATTACTAGCACATACCATATTAACCTTTTTGGGACGGGTGGCTACTATATTGTCAGCTATATTCCCTGTTTGAAAGGACGGGGTTGTCCAATTTAATGGTCATGTTTTCCCTCATTTCCACGCTTAAGATTGGGATGAAATGTTGACGTCCCTGGAGTCTTAACCACTTATCTCTTTCAAAGGCCTTTGTATTTCTTTGCATTATATAAATTTTCCCTCATTGAGGAAAAGCATCTAAAAGCCTAGTCATCAATTCCTACATTTCTATTTCTTTTTGTGTAAGGAATTCAGCCTCCCTGAGAATCGATTAAACAAAACACACGGATCTTTGTTGCAAGAAGGGAGTTGTTTATGTTGTTTAACGCAACAAAAATCAGCGTTATATTTTCAAATTTTCACAGGACTAGTTTTGATGGTTTGGTAAAACCATTGAAACTAGTCCTGTGAAAATTTGAACATATAACGCTGATTTTTGTTGTTTGACTTCTAAATTAATATTTGTTCGGTGTGTTATTGTATCTTAACTGAGATGACTAGTTTGATTTTTGATTTGTACTATATGAAATTTTGCTCATGTTAGTGTTGTGAAGAAATTTATTGAAGAAGAAAAACTGTCTGCTTATTCCTTTGGAATGAAATGTGCAGTACCTAAAACACACAAAGTTGTAGAATTTTATATTTCAGATGTGAAGCAAAAGTACAAAGAAAAAGTTAGCTGTCTTGTCACTGATACTATCATGGCTTTGCAGATTTCTTTCTTATCAAGGACTACGTTCAACAATATACCTGGACAATGCCAAGACATTCAAATGTGCTGATCTCAAGCTAAAAAAATTCTTAAAGTGTATACAACATTCATGTGTACAAAATTTTTCGCCTACAGTATAAAATGCAAATATATTGCTGAAAAAGCAGCATGGTGGGAAGCGTCTAGAGAAAGACATTTTAGAACAATCACAACTTGTTTAAGAAAAATAAATGGTCATTTTTAGAAACAGTTTTCACAGAAATCAAAGTCATAATTTATTCAAGGCCAACAACATATATCTATGATAATTCTTCAGAGCCCTCACTGTTAACTTCTACTCATTTCTTAATGGGTGAGCATTTACGTTCTCTTCCAATATTAAGAATATCCACAAAGGACTTCATTGGCATACTTGCCAATCTATGACACTCAAAAATTAGGAGATTTTTCACAAAATGATAAAAATGTAGTTTTTAATAATGAATTAACTTTAAATAGTTACTAATTCTTAAATGCAAGCAACACAATACCTTACACATAAAAAAAACATTTTTATTACTTGCATCGTTTAAGAAAACAACAAAAAAAGACACTTTAATCAGTTTTCGTACAAATCTTATGAACAGTCGCAGATTTTGCTTTCGTATTCAGAATGTTATGAACAGTGGCAGATTCGTGCTTAGCTAAACTTACAGTAATCAGAAAATGTTTCATGTGTTGAGCAATTTTTTTATTTTGAGAGAAATTTGTATCAGCTTTACGCTTATATTTTGCAGTATTATTTTGAGAACTGCCAGTTGAATTGCTGAATGGTGCAGAAATTACTTTATTTTTCTCAAAAATATTTTTAACAATGGAAGTAGTAACTACACCTCCATTTACTTTAGGTATTCATAACTTTCAATAGAGCCTTTTATCTTAACTCTCGAAGCATTTACTTCTTCTTTAAAAAATGCAAAAAGGTTCTATTGATCGAGGATTCTAGATGAGCATTTCTTTAAAGACTGCCAGTACATGTACACACATGTTTCAAAATTTTTCTCATTTCAGTATTACGCAGCTGTTGGAACTGTTTCAATATGTCCTTCCTTTTAGAACTCCTTTCAAGATAATAATAAATATCAACAATGTGTTCATCCACATTTATTGGTAAAGAAGCTGGCCCTTTTTCAGCTGCTAAATTTAAAAGGTGACAAGTGCACCTCATGATCTGCAAATCTGAATTTTCCTTTCTTAAGATTATTGAAGATTTCCAGTCTTCAAGCCTACCATTACTGGTGCATTATCGGCACCAAATGCTAAGCAATTATCCAGAGGGACTGTATTTTCTTTTAAAGTTTTAATTATTAGCTGTGCTATATTAAAACCTGTCAAATGTCCTTCTAAAGTGGGGTCAAAAAGTAAAATGCACTCAACTTCTG